CTTAAATTTGACATTTTTTATTATGTTAGAAATGGTGAATGATATTTATTAGATGAACTTTGTACTTGCAATATGTGTCAAGGTCTACTTGGGTGTAAATTCAAATTCAGTTTAAAATGCACAAAACCGGCATTCACTTTTTTATTAAATAAAACCACTTTAAATATGCTGGGTATACAAGAAAAAAAACACATCAAAAAATATTAACATGATTTGCGTTTAAAACTGACTTATTAAAAAAGGAAGTATTATCTGTAGTTAATGAATTGAATTGATTGTTTCTGGTCACTGTGTCCTGCAAGATTTTAGAACTAATAGAGATCCTCTCACGCCAAGCTTTTATTTTTAGATTGGGAAAGGAAGACAAGCTTTCTGGGTTCAGTGCCCATCTGGTTTCTTAATGCTGAACTAGTTGAATAAACTGAAATGAAGAAAACATTCTCTCTACAGTGCACCTGCAGAAAAGGCAACTGCTACTTCAACAAGCACTGGTTCCGGGTATTTACCCAGTGACAAACCACAGAACTGGTGGAACATTCTTTAAAAACTGGCAACAAACACATATTGCTTAGAATTATTTTTTGCATTTAATTTAAATGATTGTAATAGAGTATAATAAATTAAGGCATTAGCACAGATTGATAATTTAAAACTGATTTTTAAAAAATAAACCTGTACTTAAATTTTAAAAAATCAGATTTTTTTTTTTTTTAAAAAAGCACCAATTTTTATCCACCCTGAGCTAGACTAAGCATTTTAGAATTACAGCTTCTTGGTGCTGCTGACCAATTAAATATATTGTTTGGAGACTGCCACTTGTATAAAACCACTGCTGCCAGATGTTCTGTACTTGATAATGCAACAACAACAACAAAAAAAGTTAAAATATGACATTTTAGTCACATGAAAGCCAGGAAATTAAAGTTTTAGCTCCCAAAGTATCCTACATTGACCATATTTGCATGCACACATAAATTATGGCATTAAAGTTAACACCACCACACAACTTGTTGTTTATGGATCTGACCCTACAGAGACTTAGACATGCTTAACCCAATGGGATTAACAATTAACTTTGTGAAAATCCACTCTGAATGACTTGATCAGTGACACTTACGCCTGTGGTGTCTGAAGACCCATCTTGTTGGTATCCTGCACTCTCAGAGGCATCATGGATTGTCGACCACTGCTACCAGTGGTACTCGAGCTGCGCCGCATTGTGATTAAACTACAAGGCAAATTATGTTGGTATTAGAGGAAAGTCACAGTGTCAAGGAACATCATCCTTCTTGTAACATCACAGCCAATATGTGCAGAGGCTGGATTGAACTAGGGTGGGTTGGTATCTTGGACCAGCAATTATCTGATGGCCCTATCATTCCCGAAGAAATTGAAGTTTTGTATAATAAAAGAAATAGTAAGTAAGCCTCCCAAATGTATACTGTCTGAGAACTGCAGATAGAGACTGAAACAAAAGCTTTATGAAAGGGATGACCTGCCCGATTCACCTTAGTGATGCTCTAACTCTGAAGGCCACTAATAACAGCATTAAACATTTAAAGGAACTATTTCACCAGTGTTATATGCAGTGTTAGTTCCAGGATATTAGAGAGACAAGGTGGGTGAGGTAATATCTTTTATTAGACCAACTTCCGCTGGTGAAAGAAAAAAGTTTTTGATCTACCCAGAGCTCTTCTTCAGGTCAGGGAAAATTAATCTGAGTGTCACAGCAGAATATAAAGAGGAATAGATTGTTTAGCATGAAGAGTTAACACATGTTGCAAGAGACCATTTAAAATGAAGTGGACAGTTAACACTTCTGCAGCCATAAGTCAAAAGAGGTTTATTGGATTACGGAAGGTTGTAATGAAACATAAAACCAGCATCTAATGAATCTATGATTTTTTTGGTATCTAGCAGAGTTATGAATTTAAACTCCCAAGATCATCTTTTCAAGGTGTTGTGCAGGTTTCCTCTGGGGATGAGGACTGAGAGATCAGATATGGATTGACTGCTTTGTGAAAAGTATTCACCTATGGGTGATAGGGTATTTTTCTCTTATTTTTCTGAGAGAGTTAATTTGAGAGTGTAGTGATTGTCTAGTTTCACCCATATTGTTGTTGTTGGGGCATTTGATGCACTGGATGAAGTACACCACATATTGTGATAGGCATCTGTAGGACATATTTCAGAGTAGCAGCCGTGTTAGTCTGTATTCGCAAAAAGAAAAGGAGTACTTGTGGCACCTTAGAGACTAACACATTTATTTGAGCATAAGCTTTCGTGAGCTACAGCTCACTTCATCGGATGCATTCGAAAAGTACTCCTTTTCTTTTTGTAGGACATATGGATCTTGAAAGATATGTTATGGGTGAGAATGGTGATTGATCATTGTAGTAGGGGAGTTATGTCTGCAAGTTTTTTATCTGTTATTCTGGCAGGGTCTGGGTTGCTTTGACTTGGTAGGTCCTAGTCTGTAGGGAGGTTGCTTCTCATGAGCATGGCAAGGTTGGGGGGAGTGTCTGAAGACCAGAAAAGGGAGTTCCAGAAAGAAATCGTTCAGGATGTGGTCCCCATCAAGTATGGGTTATAGTTGTTTGATGATGTTTCATAGAGGTTCCAGTATGGGGTGCTAGGTGACAACTAGGCATGTGCGGTCAGTGGGGTTATTATTTCTGAATTGAAGCAGGTTCTCTCAGGCTATTTGGGTGGCCCATTCCATGATGTGATCTACTTCTCTGGTGCAGTGTCTTTGTTTGGTGAAGGAGATTTTAAGTGGGTTAAGGTGTGTATCCCAGTTCCCTGCCCCCCCCCCCCCCCAGCATATTCTTGCTTAGGTGTAGATACAAGATTTTTTGACACGTCTGGGGTAGATACTGGATCTGTGAAGTTAAATCTGGTGATCCATGGATTTCTTATATATAGTTATCTGTAGGGTTCCATTGATGGAGATAACCATGATGTCAGCAAGTTGATGCTGATATGTGAGTGTTGTAGAGAGAGAGAGTGATGTATGGAAAGTGGCTGTTGAAGTTGTGGTGGAAATCTATGAGGGAATTTAGGTTGTCTGTCTAGATGATGAAAACATCGATGCATCTCAGGTATACCATTGATTTCATGATGCATTTTTCCAGAAATTCTTCCTTGAGGTGGCCCATGAAGAGGGTGACATATTGGGGAGCCACTGTCTGTTCCCATGGTTTGGACAAAGTGTGTGTCATCGAATGTAATGTTGTTATGGAGAATGAAATGGATGAGTTTTGCGATGGGATGGATGTGTGTGTTTTGCCATCTGTCTTTTAGATATTTGAGGCAGGCAGAAATGCCGTCATGGTGAGGGATGTTGGTGTATAGGGAGGTGACATCCATGGTGGTAAATATAGTGTTCTGAGGGAAACTGTTAAAGTTGCAAAGTTCCCGGAGAAAGTCCATTGAATCTTGGAGGAAACTTGCCCTTTGTATGGTTTAAAGACAGGTTCTAGAAGTCCCGATATTGCTTCAGAAGGAATACCACACCCACATATGATATACAAGCAGGAAACCCAGGCAGATGCATCTTGGGAAGCATGTAGAAGTTCCCTGGGGTGGGTTTGTGAGGGGATGAGATTATAGACAGACATCAGCTCCACTGCAACACCAGCCTTTCAACAACTCAGGCACTCTTCTCAGGACTCTGGTAATCCTATCCTTACTTTAACATTAGGTGCACCCCAACCTTCAAGCCCCCCTCAAAGAGCATTCCCTTGCAATATCCAGACCCTGTCATTGGACACTTCCAGAAATTACCAAGTCCGCTATCGCCGAAGAGACAATGTATACACCAGCCTTTTGGCTCAGTGGAGGACGTGCACCCCACTTTAATATATTGCACTGAGATTAACCCTTTCCCCTGGGCGATCTCTTTGCTGCAGCCCGTGCGCTTTGGATGGAGACAGCTGCAAAATCCAGGCCAACCCAGGCACCTGTTGGTTTTACCTGCAACACCCTCCCCAGCCCCACAAGGCCTGCATAGCTAGTGCAGGGCAGGCCTGCCCTACTGGGGTGTGTGCGTGTGTATGGGGGGAGGTGGGAGGAGTACAGTGGTGCCTTCGGACTAGCTAGTTGGCAGTAAGGCCTGTCCGTGCCCCTGGCAGGCGGGGCAGGGGCTCCACGTGACACACGCCCCCACCTCCTTCTCTCACAGGCAGAGCGGTCCTGAGTAGGGTTGCCAACTCTGACTGAAGCTATTCTGGAGGTCCCCCCAACACGACGCAATGCTGTTTTCTTAAAATACCCACTTAAGTCTCCTGGTTTGCTTTCAATAGTCACCAGCAGTTCGATGCCAATTCCAGGAGACTCCAGGCCAATCCTGGAGGGTTGGCAACCCTAATCCTAAGGAACCGGGCCGCCCCTAGGGACTCTGCCCTGGCCCCGCCAGGGAGCGGGAGCTACCAGCAACGACGCCTGCAGAGCGGGAGAGAACTTGAGCGAGAGGCCCCGGCCCCGGCCAGACCGCCCCGCCTTCCCTAAAGGCTCCCTGCCACCCGTTGGCCGGGGCCGCACGCGCCGGGGCCACCCACTCACTGTTGTCGTTACGGCCGCCGCAACTTTTTCTTCCTCCCGTCCCAATTTCAAATCCACCCGCCACCGGCGTCTCTCGGCCTCCTACCCAATGCGCGTAGCCGAGCGTCTTACGTCAGGCGAGGGGGGAGACTCTGCCAGTGGCAAGGAGCGCCGTCTCACGGAGGTGACGTCACTTCCGTTCTCCTCCGGACGGTATTTGTTCTAATAGCTACGGCAGTTAAAAAAAAAAATCCCTCATTAGCATCGGGTTTACTAGCAGTCCTAGCTGTGGCGCTTCAGCGGAAGTTAGGGAACGCCCGCCTGACACAGCTGCTGTGTCCGTACAACAAGATGGCTGCGCTCAGTGGGGGCTCTAATCGCTCAGGTGAGCGGAGCTTCTCCTCGCACAACCGGACGTTCGCCTGTCAGTGTCCGCGAATGAGGGGCCAGTAGGAGGGGCTCGCGCAGGCAGGCCCTATGGGGCTTCTCTAGGACCTGAGCAGGGGTCCCGCTAGCTGCCCCGCTCTCACCCCAGAGGCGCTGCCAGCCCTGAGCTGCGCACGCCCTAGTCACGGTGCTGCCGTGAGGTGGCGCCGGGCGGGCTGCGAGCTACGGCCGGAAGCGCTGTCGCGGCGCCTTGCTTCGGTCACGGGCTGGCGAAACGGGCAGGTGCCGCCGGGCCTGGGGTGGCTGGAGGGCCGAGGCCCTAGCAAGACCTGGGGCAAAATCTGGGTGTGTGTCGAGCGGGCTGTGATTGGCGCTGCTGCCCAGGACCAGCCCTTCGAGGCGTGAGGTGACCCGACATCCTCTCTGGGGGCTGCAGGATCAGCCCCCTCCCCAGCCCGCGCAGCAAGTTGCAGAAGTCTGTCCAAGCTGTGTGTGTATTCGTGGCACGTTATTTTCAAAGGGAGCACTTGCGCATTCCTGTGTCGGGGGTTGTCTAGCCCAAGCTCTCATTTTACCTAAAACGGTCAGAGCTGCTGAGCTAAAGGGATAATCATGGAGTAGGGAATTGTGGCATGTTACAACAGGCAGTTAGTCTGTATTTTATAGAGACACTTGAGAAATGTACATACAGTTACAATACTATGGCCAGGGAGTTTAAAGGCTGGGGTTTCTGCAGAATTATTAACAGTGCATGGTGGAGGTCAGCAACAGACTGTATATTTGAAATGCCTAGCACACTTTAGGCATTGTTTTAATACACTTTAATAATTCTATTAAGTCTGCTTTTGTATTAATTATAGGAAACATCTAAAGTAGAAAGCGAGTGTGAATTTCAGTTCCGATTACTCAGAGACTGTCCTTGAAAAGGAGAAAATGTGATGTCTGTGGTGCATCAGCTGTCAGTTGGGTGGCTACTGGATCATCTTTCCTTCATCAACAAGGCTGGATACCAGCTTTGCCCCTCTCACCAATACCCTGCTCCCTCGGCTTCTCGTGTTGCTCCTGTTTCTTCCGCCCCCTCTACAGAGGATCTTGTTGCTCCTTCCACCATTGATATTACTTACTCTGCTGGAGCTGCAGTACAGAGAGCAGAAGCAACGCTAAAGAAAGAGAAAAAATATGTGTTTCGGGAAGAGTTCTTTCATGTTTTTAAGCCCCATATAGTTTCAGCTTCCCAACAGAAGCCCCAGCAAGGAAACTCTGATGCTGGCCCAAGGGAGGGGAAAGACAGTGGCAATGGAACAGAGCAGCACGAAGGAGCAAAGAACAGTGATGGGGATTCCTTTGCCAGTGCTAGGAAGGTATGGTCTATAGAAAAATCAAACAATTAATAAAATAATTATGCATTGAACAGTCTACCATAACAACTTCTTGCAAATTGTCTTGCTGCTTCCTGAAATAATTTAAAGCACAAGTTGTTAGGGGGCAGGAGGGAGATGTAGATCCACAGCAGGTTTCAAAATGTGAAAGAGGTCTGCACTTAAAAATTGTGTGAAACTGAAGCCTTTGCTAGATACTCACAGGGATTTACCTAGCTCCTTAACAAGATGTCAGGGCCTTGTAGCTCATGACCCCATTTTCAAGCCGTTGGTCCTGTATCATTTAGCATGCATATGCTAAACATTTACAGTCTGAATTTTCAGAAGTGGTGAGCTGACTTGAGTGTGAGTTGCTCAGTTCCTCTGAAAATCTGCTTAGCAGATGCCTACCCAGCAAGCTTAGAAATGAATGGCTTGTTTTTGATTTCTAATGTTTTCTAACTTCTTGAAGGAGAACTATCCACATACAAAGTTGGAATCATAGAATATCGGGTTAGGAAGGGACCTCAGGAGGTCATCTAGTCCAACCCCCTGCTCAAAGCAGGACTGATCCCCAATTAAATCATCCCAGCCAGGGCTTTGTCAAGCCTGACCTTAAAAACTTCTAAGGAAGGAGATTCCACCACCTCCCTAGGTAACGCATTCCAGTGTTTCACCACCCTCCTAGTGAAAAAGTTTTTCCTAATATCCAACCTAAACCTGCCCCACTGCAACTTGATACCATTACTCCTTGTCCTGTCATCTGCTACCACTGAGAACAGTCTAGATCCATCCTCTTTGGAACCACCTTTCAGGTAGTTGAAAGCAGCTATCAAATCCCCCCTCATTCTTCTCTTCTGCAGACTAAACAATCCCAGTTCCCTCAGCCTCTCCTCATAAGTCATGTGTTCCAGTTCCCTAACCATTTTTGTTGCCCTTCGCTGGACTCTCTCCAATTTTTCCACATCCTTCTTGTAGTGTGGGGCCCAAAACTGGACACAGTACTCCAGATGAGGCCTCACCAGTGTCGAATAGAGGGGAAAGATCACGTCCCTCGATCTGCTGGCAATGCCCCTACTTATACATCCCAAAATGCCATTGGCCTTCTTGGCAACAAGGGCACACTGTTGACTCATATCCAGCTTCTCGTCCACTGTAACCCCTAGGTCCTTTTCTGCAGAACTGCTGCCTAGCCATTTGGTCCCTAGTCTGTAGCGGTGCATTGGATTCTTCCGTCCTAAGTGCAGGACTCTGCACTTGTCCTTGTTGAACCACATCAGATTTCTTTTGGCCCGATCCTCCAATTTGTCGAGGTCCCTCTGTATCCTATCCCTACCCTCCAGCGTATCTACCACTCCTCCCAGTTTAGTGTCGTCTGCAAACTTGCTGAGGGTGCAATCCACACCATCCTCCAGATCATTTATGAAGATATTGAACAAAATCGGCTCCAGGACAGACCCTTGGGGCACTCCGCTTGATACTGGCTGCCAACTAGACATGGAGCCATTGATCACTACCCATGGAGCCCGACAATCTAGCCAACTTTCTATCCACCTTATAGTGCATTCATCCAGCCCATACTTCTTTAACTTACTGACAAGAATACTGTGGGAGACAGTGTCAAAAGCTTTGCTAAAGTCAAGGAACAACACATCCACTGCTTTCCCCTCATCCACAGAACCAGTTATCTCGTCATAGAAGGCAATTAGATTAGTCAGGCATGACTTGCCCTTGGTGAATCCTTGCTGACTGTTCCTAATCACTTTCCTCTAAGTGCTTCAGAATTGATTCCTTGCTCCATAATTTTTCCAGGGACTGAGGTGAGGCTGACTGGCCTGTAGTTCCCAGGATCTTCCTTCTTCCCTTTTTTGAAGATGGCCACTACATTAGACTTTTTCCAGTCGTCCGGGACTTCCCCCGATCACCATGAGTTTTCAAAGATAATGGACAATGGCTCCGCAATCACATCCGCCAACTCCTTTAGCACTCTCTGATGCAATGCATCCGGCCCCATGGACTTGTGTACTTCCAGCTTTTCTAAATAGTCCCGAACTACTGCTTTCTCCACAGAGGGCTGGTCACCTCTTCCCCATGCTGTGCTGCCCAGTGCAGTAGTCTGGGAGCTGACCTTGTTCATGAAGACAAAGGCAAAAAAAGCATTGAGTACATTAGCTTTTTCCACATCCTCTGTCACTAGGTTGCCTTCCTCATTCAGTAAGGGGCCCAAACTTTTCTTGACTTTCTTCTTGTTGCTAACATACCTGAAGAAACCCTTCTTGTTACTCTTAACATCTCTTGCTAGCTGCAACTCCAGATGTGATTTGGCCTTCCTGATTTCACTCCTGCATGCCCGAGCAATATTTTTATATTCCTCCCTAGTCATTTGTCCAGTCTTCCACTTCTTGGAAGCTTCTTTTTTGTGTTTAAGATCAGCAAGGATTTCACTGTTAAGCCAAGCTGGTCGCCTGCCATATTTACTATTCTTTCTACACATCGGGATGGTTTGTCCCTGTAACCTCAATAAGGATTCTTTAAAATACAGCCAGCTCTCCTGGACTCCTTTCCCCCTCATGTTATTCTCCCAGGGGATCTTGCCCATCAGTTCCCTGAGGGAGTCAAAGTTTGCTTTTCTGAAGTCCAGGGTCCGTATTCTGCTGCTTTCCTTTCCTCCTTGTGTCAGGATCCTGAACTCGACCATCTCATGGTCACTGCCTCCCAGGTTCCTATCTACTTTTGCTTCCCCTACTAATTCTTCCCGGTTTGTGAGCAGCAGGTCAAGAAGAGCTTGAATTTTTGTGTTCTGCTATTTTAAAATTATTTTAACTCTCCCCTCCCCCCCATAATTATTCTGTTCTAAAATAAATCTGTGGCGAGGTGTTTAGATGGTGTAAATTCACTGATTTCAATGGAGCTCTGTTGATATCTGAGGATATGCTCATCTATTTTTTTTTTCTTGTAAATAGCATTTCTAAAATGGCTGGGTAGTTTCTACTCAAACTTTTTAAAAAGAGTACCTTTGGCTGAAATCCATCGTCAGCCATTTCAGCCCAAAAGAGCAGTGTTAGGAAGGAAAGACTGAAAACAAAGATTTGTAGTGGAACTTCAGATGCTTAGATAACCTTACAGTAGTTATATTTTGTAAAAAGTAACTTTGAATGACTCCTTGGTTAAACTTGCTCAATTTATAAATAACTGGCATATCTATTTTTTTTAACAACTATTTTTTACAAACTCAGACTCAGATCTGAGATCAAGTTGTTGGGGTTTTGTTTGTTTGTGTTTTGGCTAACGCCTAACCATCAGTAACAAAGCTGCAAAAACTTCGCAATTTCGTTGATTTATATGTAAGACTGAAAAGAATGCAACTCACTACTGATTTTAAATTAATAACAACTCGTTAGTCAAAAAAAAGCTATATCTCTGAAAATGCTGTTGGTGCAGATATGTTGTTAAGAAAGCACCTTTCATTTGCACACTGTTTTCTGACCCTACTGCAACTTTTACAGCATTTGTTGGCATGTTTGCCTTTCTATATTGAAGCTGTTACTGCATATCCAGGCACACTCAGAAGAGTGTATGTCCATTGGAGTAACTGAATAGGTTTAGGGTGTATACAGTAGAATCTGAGTTATGAACACTAGAGTTATGAACTGACCAGTCAACTACACACCTCGCTTGGAACTAGAAGTGTGCAATCAGGCAGCAGCAGAGACCAAAAACAAAAGGCAAAAACAGTACCGTACTGTGTTAAACGTAAACTACTAAAAAAAAAAAAAGGGAAAGTTCTGTTTTTCATTTAAATTAAGATGGTTAAAACCAGAATTTTTTCCTGCATAGTAAAGTTTCAAAGCTGTATTAAGTCAATGTTCAGTTGTAAACTTTTGAAAGAACAACCTTTAACGTTTTGTTCAGAATTACAAACATTTCAGAGTTACGACCAACCTCCATTCCCGAGGTATTCGTAACTCTGAGGTTCTACTGTGTATATTAAATACTCTTCATGCTGTATTATTTAAAATTTAATGAAGATGGGCAAAATGATGGATCTCTGGATTTTGCCAATTGTTATTGCACTTCATTTATTGACCAAACAAAACCCAACTTTTTTTTTTCTTTTTGCTTTAATTGCAAATACTGTTTTACAACTGCAGGACTATACTTAAATTTTCTTTAAATACAGCCTTGCGACAAGTGTATTTGCCAAGGATGATTAAGTCGTTTTGAGGGTTATTTTTTTTTAATTAACATGGTAAGGGTGGATAAATATATTTTGTGCATGGGCTTGAAGTTTTTTTTTTGACAGTTTTGTTGATGTGCTTCATGTAGTGTTCATTGAAATACAGAAATATGAGGTGTGTCTGTTCCCTTTAAATTTTGCGTATATGATGTCTGGGGTAAATCAATAATTGTAGCTTTCTGGAGTTAGGTGACACTTTCTTGTTGCCAATAGCCTGGGCTTGGCAACTAAACAAAGATTTCATAGCATTATCCCAAGGGAGACAGAAAAACTAAGCAGTGAAGATTGGAGTTAATATGAGCTGTCAGGTGGCATAGGTATCATTGAATAGCATTGGCAAACATGTGAGGTAAGATTATTTTATTACTTTATTTGTATCAGCCTAGATTTTAAAATTACTCTGGCACCAAGAGAAGATGACTTTGATAAAGGACTTAAGTTCATAATAAAGAAGGGTATGGCAAATTGTTACAAGCTCTGAAGGCATGTGTGTATTTCTCTTGCATATTTATGCCATGTAGTAGCACAGCTGACTCCCTCTTTTTTTTTTTTGTCATATTTTTTTCACTGCAGAAAAATAAAAGAAAGTGTAGTGTGTTCAATCAAGGTGAACTGGATGCTTTAGAATACCATACAAAGGTAAGCCTGAGCAGTAGTAACAATGACAAGTGTACGGTATGTATCTATAGGTAATTTATTGAATATAAACCCTCTGAAACTATTCCAAAATATATGGAGCATGAGTCTTGTAATTTCAGTTCGTTACAGCTAAAGCAATATTTGGTCTTGCCAGTCCCCAAGTGGAGGACTCAATACTGAGACTATTTTAAGTGTGTGTGTGTGTTTGTATAAAAATCAAACTGCTGCTGAGAAATTTCAAAGAGCTAGAAACTGGTTTCACATAACACCTTTGATATTCTAGGTCGCTGAACCTCCTGGAGCAAGCACTGACTTAGCTAGCTAGGTAATGTCAGCAAGAAAATGCTACAGATGCTGGTTTTGAGCCTGGGCAGTATAATCTAATGATGTCTATATTGGATGCTGAACTGAGATTATTCCCCAACTCCGTACAAAGATGCTCTGATGTGTCACATTCACTGGAGAGGGGCAGAATTACCCATTCTTTAACATCTTATATAGTATCCTGTTTGGCCCATGATGTTTCCAAAATTTTCCTTGCTTTAGTTTTTGAAACTTTATAGTTTGTATTTAATTTTTTTAACATTTGTAAAATGATTTGAGCTTAAACATGTCAGTCAGGTAAATGGAAAATTATTATTGTAGAAATGTGAAGTTACTTAAATGTGGCTTTTTAAAAAAAAATTGTGCTCATCTTCGAAGGTGAGTTGACTTGGGAGGATGTGTGAGAGGAGTTTAATTTCTTTTTTGAGTAGGAATCTTTAGTCTTGACATTTCATTTATAAGAGTAGAAATGCACAGTAAAGTGATGATTGTGTTCTATCCAACACTGAATCTAATTCATGGAAAAATTTGATTGTAAAAAGCAAGAAAATGTTATATAAATGGTAGTTTCCTCAGTTCTGTTTGATTGCAAACAAGATCTATATCACATATAGACTGTCAAAATTTATTACTAACAAAAAAAAATCAGTGTTGTAGAACATTAGTTTGTGTAGTTTTTAAAAGTAGATAAAATATATTGAAAGAATTATCAAACACAGTTTTGATGGGGTGAAGACATTAATATTTGGTGTCAGATGGATTCATTAACACCGTTGTGACATATTTCTTATACATGATCACGTTACTAGAAATACATGTTTTTTTAGATTATGTTTGTAACAAGTATACACTGATTCTGTGGTTAAACATTGGCGCTTTCATATGACATAATTAAAAAAAAATATATAAGCCAGATGCATAAAGCAATAGATTTTTAAGGCATCAATTCAGGAAAGCACTTATGCACATGCTTATGTGTTTCCTGAATAGTAATACTTTCCTCAATTGAGAGGTGTATTTGCATTCCTTTCTCCTGAAATTCGTGGTGATCACTATATTTTTTATTTTTCTCTTGAAATTGTATTTTAAAATATTAAGATACATAATTTTTATATTACATCACAATATTTGTATAGGATCCCCATTGTATACTCCAACCAAACGTTGTGATCTGTTTATGCAGGTAACATCACCTATCTACAGATCTCAAAATGCTTTAAACTTAAAATTATTTATAATATAATGTGATCCAGGGGTCTGAGTCAGATTAGGGGTTCAGTATGCTAGGTGCTATACAAATGCATTGCTCCAAATTGCTTACAGTTTAAGACCCTGATTCTGAAAAGACTTATGCACATACTTCATGAACTGAATCCAATGAGATCACTGTTTGTGAAGTTAAATGTGTGCTTAGCACTTTGCAAAATTGGGGCAAAATAAAAACAGTGCATGAGGGAGTGAGAAAGACGGACAAGTGATAAAATCTCTTGGTTGCAGATACTAGCTATGTGCACAACCTTGTTTTTTTTTTTAATGAAGGTGTAATCAAACAGTAGCCATTAATGAAACACTAGTCATCTCTACTAGCCTCTTTTTAAACCATTAGAAAATTAAACTTTGCATTTAGAGCAGTAAAAGCTAACCTCCCCAGGTTGTTCCTCTCCATAGGATAAGTAAGTTCAAATTGTTTTAACATTTATTCATAGCTGTTGTAGGAACAGAGCAACTGCATTTTTTTAAGGTGTTTTTTTTTGTTTGGTTGTTTTTTTTTAGGAACCCCTTGTTCATTCATTGGTATTCCTGAATGTGTGTATGCTAAGACTATAATTATATTCCAATATTGCCAACCCCAAGTATTCAAAAATATTCAGATTGGCTTACTCGTGAGACTTTAAAAATAATAAATATGGGGTTCTTGTTATTTGCCTTCTCATGTTTGATCCTTTAAAAGTTCATTGTAACCATAAAGGCTAGAAATTTACTTAAAAGTTAAGATTCCCACACAATCTCATGATTCCAGGAGCTGGGGGCTTTAAAAACAATAATAAATATTGTAAGATTCATGATAGTTGGCAACACTGATAAATGGACAGTATTCTTTGGTTTATACCGTATATACTCGTTCAGAAGCCAAATATTTTTGGTAAAAATGTGACTCAAAGAGCGGGGGTCGGCTTATAAACGGTCTACACCAAAATTTGATGATTTTAAACTCTGTGAAATCGTTGAACTGAATATCTAATACATTTTTGTTTTGTTTACCTGGAGCATCTGCAGGCATAGAGCACCTCAGTTCCCTGTGGCCGCGGTTTGCCGTTCCCAGCCAATGGGAGCGGTGAACAGCAGCCACAGGGAGCTGAGGGGCTCTGTGCCTGTGAACGCTCCAGGTAAACAAAACGTCCCGACCCACCAGTGGCTTACTCTGACAGGCTGGGCGCCAAAATTTGCCAACCCCTGAAATATAGGGTCGACTTATGAAAGAGTCATACAGTTTTTACTGTTTTTACCTATCCATCTTGGGTCGGCTGATAAACAAATGGGCTAATGAACGAGTATATACGGTAATTGAAAATATTGGGGTCTTGATGATGATTATGGATGCAGGTAGTAATTTGAGGCTCGGAATCGTCAATGAGAGGTGCATAACCAGATTCTCAATTAAAGTCACTGGGATTCTGTGCAAGTTCAAGGATCTGCCTGCATGAATGACTTCCAGGATCAGGGCCTAAGAGGGTGTTGTTTAGATGGTCACTAAAAACAAGTTATAATAATTTGACTCACTAACTTTTTTTTTTTAATCATTCTTAGTTTAATGCATAAAACCTGTTGTGTTTAAAGTGAGTTTAAGGTTCTGGAAAGATACCATATTAAAATTTCTGGATACTGACATCCTCAGTTTTCCTGATTGTAAATTTGTTTGTCTCAATACGGGTCCTGATGATGATCTGCAGATTGCAGTGTAGCAAATATGTATGAAATTTCTGTTTAATTCTCCAGAGATATCAACCAGACATTTCAAAGATCCTTTCCCTCTGCTTTGTATCTCTTATTACTGTACAGATTAGGGGGCTGATATTGGAAGGAACCAGGTGTTTAATCGAAGAAGGACTCAAAAGTGGTTTTCTTCACCCCATTTCTGCAAAACAGAGTAGCATCAAGAATGTTGTTACAGGACATGTTGGCTGTGGGATGGCTGAATTATGTGAAATGGCAAAACATTTTCCTTCTCTGAATGAAAATGACCACAGATCTGCACAAATTATAGATGAGGAAACATCCATTCTAGAGCAGGATCTGCTTTCATGCGTTACAGAGAACGATACAGACTATGCAAAGATAATAAATTTAATGGGGCAGAAGTACCTGGTGCCGCCAAAAAGCAGTTTCCTTTTATCTGATATTTCCTGCATGCAACCACTTATGAATTGTAAGTATCTTTACTCATTAAAATTTTCTCTTTTTGTCAGTAGCCCATCAATCTGCTCACTGTTGGAATATGTTGTCTGTTAAGCCACAGAGCCACTTCTCAAGTAATCATCTTGACATTAGACTTCAATATGGATTGAAGTATTGGTAGTAGGGAACACATTAGCAAGCTGCTACCATTGGAAGTTTGAGAATGAGCTATTCTTCATGCAGATTGGCTGGGATTTTCAAAGATGCATATGGGAGTTAGTTGCCCAACTTTCTGAGAGGTTTCTAAATCCCTTAGGCTCCTTTGAAAATCTCATCTGCAGTGTATTGTGTGAAACTCAACAGACTAATGCTGCTTTAATTAGCTAAGCACTTTATTTCTGTGCTTCCCCCAATAATCCATTAAATGAATGTGCTGTTTACTCATTTGAATAATTTATAACTACAATATGACAAGGTATTTAAGAAGAGAGAGAATTTTTTCCCCCCAGCATTAATTCCTTCATGTGTATTACCAAAAGAATAAATTACTTAGGCTGTAACCAATAACCTGTGACTTGATAGTTACTTTTATTTCCCACTCTCTAATATTCCATCTTAAAATTAAAAAGAAATCACCCATATTTTGATAAAGACATGCAAGAACCCTTTGGCTGCCCCTACGTGTAGGAGCTGGAGTGGGGGGACATGTTGCTGCTTCTGGAAGTCATGGCGTGGAGAAAACTCCGGATCCCACTCCCCGGCTAGAGCATCGGAGTGGGGCAAGATCACTGGGAGCTCGAGGTCTGGACTGAAAGGTCTGAAAGCCCATACAAGGCTCACTGGCCATAGTTTGCCCATGCCTGGTCTAATCTGTTCTTAAAAACTTAGAATGATGGGTTGTTGCATCATTCTTTACACATACTCTTCCACAGTGAATAATTAAAGTTTGTGCCTTTTAAATACACTGGGTATCTCATTCAGTATTTTTAACTGAATAAAATTGTAATCTAAGCCAAATTCTGTCAGAAAGAAATCTGAATTTAGATAAAGAATTTTAAGGGTTTTTTTCTCTTATGACCATTAAAGTGGTGGTTACAGTACTGGCAGGATAATAACTGAAACATTAATACATAAGTAGTCAACGTGACAAAACATAGCAGAATCTGAGTGTGGCCTAAAACCATAGCTCTAACTGATCAGCCATTTAAAAATCATTAATAGCTGACCCAGTGACCCATCAAAACAGAAAAATATCTTAGTCTGACACAGTGTCCTCAAAATGATAATTATAGAGTAGTAAGTTAAAGTAGTTAGAAGCATTTTAGTTATTTTTGAAAGCAAAATAGAATATCGCCCCTCTTCTGCACAGTCTAGTCTTCTGGTCTTTGTAATTAGGTTGCTTAAACTTTGGGGAACAATTTTAGCTTTTGTTTTAAAACTAGTCTTTCAATTTTAATTTCTTTCCAGATAAGAATAAATATGATGTAATTGTGATAGATCCACCATGGCAGAACAAGTCTGTTAAAAGAAGTAACCGGTAACTTTTTTGTAAATTTATATATATATACTGTTTTTTTAAAAACAAAAAAAAAACCCCACCAAACCCCACATTTGATTTTGTTCATGTGCTGTTGCAGTGTTCCTGCAAAGTTCTGATTATGTGTTTTATTTTTGGTTTTTTACCTCCACACAGATACAGTTGATTATATGGTAATACAATCCAACACACTGCAAGATCGGGGCCTAAGCTAGCAGTTATCAAACACTTTTTTTGGCATCTGCCTAACTTGAAGCATGTGAGTAATCTCGTGGATTTCATTGAGACTAGTCAAATGCTTCATGTGCCAAAGAGTTGACATTATTGGCACTTAAATTACTTTCCAGGAGAGCTTGAAGCCAATTTTATAGCAAAACCCCAATCCTGCAAATACTTACGCATGTGCTCAGTTTTATTACCCTGAGTACTACTGTTGATTTCAAAGTTAAGTGCATTACATAAGTGTTTGCGGGACTGGGGCCTAATTTAGAAACTTCAGAATTTTTTTGTTGTGGGTTTGATTTTCTGCTTGATTGGTAGAAGTAGAAAATTTAATAATACAGTACTGAAATTCTCAGGCATAATGAGGTCAGCTGCTGAGAACTCTAGTTTGCAAAGTCATTACATTAGAATTTATGGCCCTATTTCTTAAGTGAGCTACATACATTTTATTCCACCAGGACTCAGTTTGTTACATAGACTCACCACCATGTAGAAGTGGTGAAAATGGTGGAGAATTTGGACCTATAACTTTCCAAAGTGAATATTGATATAGTTTCTCTCCTGTAGTTCTGGAAGCTTGCAATTAAAAAAAAAAAATTCAGACTTCTAATGTCACAGGATTAGTCTGGTGTTTTTAATTTTGAACCCAGACCAAAAAAATTGCCAACTCAGGAAATACTTAACTTCAATTCTATCCTGTCTGCAATTTTTTTTTAAATAATTTGTTACTTAAAACATTAATATCCACACCCCATGCTTTGCCTCTTAATCATAAAATCCAAATAGAGTTCCAGTTGCCTCTTCTGAAATAAACTGCTTTAGCATTCAGCCACAGACAATACATACCAATGCAATCCTGAAAATCACACTCATATGCACAACATTAACTCTCTTCAAGTGTTCTTAAATGGTAATAACACATTACAGACTTTTAAAGTGAAGTATGTCTGTCAGTAAGACATGTTGGTGTAGTCAGTTAAGGTTGTGCGGCATTGGGAAATGGAGGGAAACAGGAGCTACTCTCTTTTTAAAAGAAAAAAAAATTGTATGTAATGTCACGTTGTCTGGAGTGGCTCACAACCATGAGTGCTAACCTCATGGCAGACGCCCCAAACTGGCAATATGTTCTATAATTAGATTTCACCAACCCAGTAACAAGTATGAACTCCTGGATTACTGTAACAGTCTTACTGTTGCGCTTGTAGGTTACTCCATTTGCTTTTCATTCAGATGGGAGATTTCTTATTCGAGAGTGAATGGTATTGACTTGAGTGGAAACTACAATATAAACAGAAACTATCGTGTCATCAAATAGTTTATTCTGGTGTACAAATGAGAGTATTGGATTAAAAGCAGTAATCTTTATCAAAATTAAGACTGGAACTCAGCCTTTTTCAAAAGTAGAATTCTTACAGAGCTGATCTATTTTGGGAATGGGAGAAATATTTAGATAAAAATTACAACCTATATATAAAATCCATATGTGTGGGGTTTTTTCAAAAGCATCCAACATATTTGGCCACTGGATGTCACTCTTGACTCGTATTTAAGTTTATTTAACTGTGGGGTTTTATTTATATTCAGGAAATGTTTCTTAAAGAAGAATGTCAGAGTTGGGGCTTTATATAGCGCCTTTCACTGTTGTTTTTTATACTAGTTTTGTATTTGCTAATACACTTTCTGAAATATACTGAGGTACAGATACAACCACTTGTCTTCCTGGCAAATCAAGCAAATTCCCATACCATCACTAGCTGCTCCAAATTGTCTTGTGGTCACATGGGTGACCAATAGACAGAAGCACCTGCGTTTTGTTAGGGATGAACTTTATCCTCATTGGTCTGTGAAGACTCTTGCTGAGTGGCACTGGGTGAAAGTAAGTTCTGAATCTGTTTGCTTTTGGTGGGTGGGGCATGCAACATGGTGCTTTTCTGCATATTTCTGTAATTTTTCTGTCCCTTAGTGTTTTTTGTATTTAAAGGTCATTACTTTTTCACTGGGAGGCAGAAATTTTATATCTTCATTTTGGGGAGGGGGGGAAAGAGATTAATAATTACTAATAGAAAAAAATATACCTGTTGTATACCAAGTCACATGCAAAATTTATTTCTCATTTCTTTTTGTCAGATTACCAGATCTGGAGAATTTGTATTTCCATTAGATTCTTCCCACAAGAAACCCTATGAAGTCCTTGTGTTGGGGAGAGTTCAAGGAATAATAGATTTTCCATTAAGGTAGGAGAGACTATTTTTAGTAAGTATTTTTCTAAGTGGTTGTTCTTTTTGCATTTGTCATTCTTATATAAGCTATATAATAAGCTTTCAGGGTTGTCACTATGTGTCACTCTGGAGCCTAGAATCTCTGTTTAGTCAGTGTGAAGCAATGGAAACAGCTATAAGCAAGGTTGAGAGCTCTTTTTTTGTTCAGAATATCACCAGGTGTAATCATCAGTGGGATTTGTGATGTGTTAAATCCAGTTTTTAAGTTCTTAGTCATTTTGACTCTACAAATTACACTTGTGATACTGTACCTGTACACTAAGGCATGTATCTATGCCATACCAGTCACTTTTTGCCCCTCACCTGGTGCATACTGCTCCTAAAGTTGGCACAGTCAACCTTGGGAGCATCATCTCAGTGAAAGGGGAATTCTCCAGTGGCACAGAGTGACCAAAGCAGCTCCTGTCTCTCCCAGCTGCCAGTGTATGGCGCATGGCTCTGGGAAAGGGGACATGGCTTCCCCTTGCTGGCACTTCTCAGCTGCAGTCCTACCTGCCTGGGGCTGTTGACTGCCATCAGAAGTTAGAGCAGTCCTTTGTCTGTTCTCTCTCTCACTGGGGGACCAGTCAAATGAACAGGTGGCCCCAATCGGGAGGAACAAGTGGGTGGGGTTGTGCTGTGCATTCCTCACCATAGCAGAGCGCCAGTGTGTATGTATTTGTGTATGCACATAATGTAGGGGTGTGGTTTGGGTTCTTTTGGTTAAAGTCAGTGATATTCTGCAGTTGAAAAGTGACAGAGCTATTGATTAGTTTGGATTTTTTCCCCCTCTTGTTTTATCCCTTTATTACCTATATTTTCTTCAAAGCCTCTGAAATGTCATAAACTGACCTTTAGCTTTCAGGAAAACAAATATACTCAACATTTAGATATTTAGCTTCCCCAAGGCTTGCGGTGAAGTCTGATAGTGAATGAGTATTCTGTATTTTTTATATCCCATTTGGGACAAAACCCCATGAAAACACGTACCTGTATCACAGTATTGATTGAGAAATCTCATTTATTTTCTTCTGATTTTATACAACAGGAAATCAGACGTGGAAGTACTTCCAATTCCAGACCACAAATTAATTGTCAGCGTACCCTGCACTCTTCATTCACACAAACCTCCTCTTACTGGTATGTTCTTTGAACACCTCTCTACAATATAGTGTTTGTATAGACCAAGATTTTTCAAACTTGAATGTCTGAAGTTAGGCACCTAAATCCATATATAGATGCCAAATAAGTGGCCTGATTTTCAGAGATGTCAAGCAAATGCGGTCAGTAGGAATGACAAGTGTTCAACATCTCTGAAAATCCTGCCACATTTAGTTCCTTAAATATGGGTGTTAGGCACCGAAGTTTGGGCATCTCTGTTTGAAATTTTTGGACAGAGGTCTTAAATTTAAAAAAAAATTTTTTTTGCATTTGTTTTCTAGTTTTATAACTACTTCAAAATTGCTCTGTTCCTGCATTCTGTATGAAATAGTTCCAGATGACCTGAGTTCTTTCCTTTGTGTGGTGAGCAGCATTTCCCTGGCTGGGAATACATAAAATAGACTGGTTATTGCTTACTTAATTAAAACTACCAGTCTTTTCTTTCTGGGACACCTAATTGTGGAAGAGATTTATTTATTTTTTCATACACAGAATATGCACATATAGCACAAAACCTTGGGTATGTTGTATATCTTTTTAAAACCACAGATTTAATTAAAATGACAGTAATTGACAGCAAGTAGACCATACCCATATTAATTACCAATAACCATTATACATTACAGGGGTTGATCTCCAGCCAATCAGTTAGACTATAGGTGCCTCCCATCCAAGCCCTTGCTCATGCTAGGTCTGAAGAATCTCTTGACCTGTACACAGTGCCATGAGGGTCTGCAAACTGGGGCTCTGGCGGATCAATGATGAATTTTCAAATCAAGATTGGATGTTTTCAAAAAGATATGCTCTAGGAATTTATTTTTTGGAAGTTCTGTGGCCTGTGTTATACAGGAGGTCAGACTAAGTGTTTTGGAAGTATTATTATTTATGCCGGGTAAAACTAAAGGCCAAATGCTATTTATAATTGCTCTAAACCTGCCTAAATAATAAGCAATTTAGTACATCCAAACAATAACAAAACACTTCTAAGCATTTGATCAAGATACTTATAAATAGGCTAAACTCCAGGAGTGCTTAGACCCATATTGGTTGGCTTCAACTTGGTCAGACAGGTATTAGCCATGAACGCTTTAAGAGTTGACTTTATTCTCTTTTTAACAAACAAGCAATAGCATTGCCAATTATCAGACCTCAGTTAAGGCCAGATGAAGCAGTTTCTTATATAGCAAATTACTTACTGCACTTGGTATCCAATTAACTGTGTTTTATTTCTCTTACTTCAGCCCATACTTTAAGATAACACTGATATTTTGAAGGGTCACTACAAGTTTAACACAACTCTTCTTTCACATGAACTCATTCTTTTTGGTCACATGCTTTGAGCCCATTGCTCATGCTAATATCCCAACTTAATTTAAAACTGTGGTTCACCCAAATCTAATGTTGACCTATATTACTACAGTAGGTGATCACAGTGGTCCTTCTGGCCTTGGAATCTATGAACTTATGGATTGTATCATTGAAATATGCTATACTTGAAGACTCTTCATGTTCCATCTGCAGAAGGTGCCAGTAACCACAGGGAACCTGTTAGACTTGTTCTCTGGCCACTGCACCGAATCCATATTAGGTTTTGGGTGTAAATCCAGTCACTGACTGATTTTTATAAAGCTCTAACTGGTTTGGGTCTTGGCTGTTGAAGAGACTGCGTCTCTCACCTTGAACTACCATAAATGAGATCAGTTTGAGTTAAATTACTGGATTTAAATGTGTGAGAGCTTGGTGACAGGGTGTGCAAAGTAGAAGTCTTTCAACTTTAATGTAGCCCACACTTCTCTCCATACGCACTTCTGACAAAATCCTAGTTTGATTACTCTTCTATATAGGTAATTATACTGACCTCATAACAGTAGTATCTGAGCGCCTTCCAGTGGTCCATTAAATGACATGACTAACATTTGTCATGTGTGGTTCGTTCTTCAGTTCATCCTCTCCCAAGGGGGGAAATTGTGTGTGCAGTGTAGTGTTGGTTATTGTAGGTTTAAAAATCATATGCATATAATGCTATGTATTTCTGGTGTAGAAGTCAGGTTGAAGAAGTGTGCCTTGCACTTGGAGTAGAAGGTGATGAGATTGGAGGTGATTCTTGGTTCCTGTGGGAATTTGTTCCACATTCTTGGTCCAACCCCCAAGAAGCTCTGTCTCCTGCACTGACAAGATTTACTCTCATGGTAGAAAGTTGCATTGTGTCTGAGGAGCAGAGTTGTCTGTGGATAGGGTACTAGTCTCAACTCCTTTTCACTCTTGTCTGAGAGGGAGTTTTTGAAGTGTTTATTTTTGGGGTTTTTTTGTTTTGTTAGTAGTGGGTATTAATATACATGTGTCTGGAGACAAGTAATTGGGCACAATTTAGTAATCTGAAATATAAGCAAGCTTGAATCCTTGACCATCTATCAGCAATGTCCTGCAATAAGCTGTAGAATTTAAATCTTTCTGGTTGATTAACGGGAGTGCCTGGACTGATCTATATGATTGCAAGATTCGTGGTCACTGAGGCAGCTGGGGCTCAGACCTCTTAAGACTTCACTGGCCAAGCTTGGAAAGGCTTTACAGACAAACAGAAATGCAGTCGAGTTGAGTGTATGTAATGTGATAACTTTTGAATGGTGCATTAGATCAATTCCAAAATTTCAGGAAGTGATCTAGTTATCAGTGGGCAGAATCCTATTGATCAGGGGGGAAATGGGGAATATATGGAGTTGCTGTCATCTGTTCAGTGTAGCCACAGTTTCATGTACCTCTGCACTTTGTCTGCAGTTCAAACAACTTGTTGATGGGTTTCAGAGTAACAGCCGTGTTAGTCTGTATTCGCAAAAAGAAAAGGAGTACTTGTGGCACCTTAGAGACTAACCAATTTATTTGAGCATCCGATGAAGTGAGCTGTAGCTCACGAAAACTTATGGTCAAATAAATTGATTAGTCTCTAAGGTGCCACAAGTACTCCTTTTCTTTTTGCAACTTGTTGATGGTACCCTTAATGCCTTCCAGCATAACCCCTGCTCATCCTCCCAATAGAATTTAATGTGGTTGACACCCTGACTGATTTATCTTCCAGACAGAAGAGAAATAATTTCTCTTCCTGATGAAAGCTGTGTTATAGATGCTCAGCCAGTAGGGGCAGACAGAGGGAGAGAAGAAGGCTTCATTTCTCCCTTCTAGTGTCCTGCCTCCACAACTCCTGCTCTGTGGTGGGGAGGGAGGCAGAAGTGCTCCCCTCCCTTTCAATCCTGGGGGAAAAAGGTACTTTGGACATAGTCCAGAGGAGAGTGACAAAAATAGCAAATCGTATAGAAAAGCTGGCCAAAGATGAAAGGTTAAAAAAGTCTTCTTCAAATATGTTAGGGGCTGGTATAAAGAAGATGGTGATCAATTGATCTCCATGTCCATCGAAGGTCAGACAAGAAGTAATGGACTTAATCTGAAGTAGAGGAGATTTAGGTTAGATTTTTAGGAACTATTTTCTAACTCTAAGAGTAGTTAAACTCTGGAATAGGTATCCAAGGGAGGTTGGAGGTTAAGAACAGGATGGACAAAAACCTGTCAGGGATGGTCTAGATTTACTTGCTCCTGCCTCAGTGCAGGGGGCTGGACTTGGCCTCTCGAGGTCCCTTCCAGCCTGACATTGTTATGATTCTGTGAGTATGATTTGTGGGAGGGGAGTCACATAGCCTGTGGCATAGGAGGAATGGGTTGGAACAGGACCCATATAGTGGGGGAAGAGAGGAATAGGGGAACAGAGCCCCTGGCCTTGTGCTGAGAATGGGAGATCCTGCTTGGAGGGGTGGGGGATGGAGGGAAGACAGACAGTGCTGAAGGGGAAATGGGGGGCAGAGACCCTGGCATGGGAAAATGGATGCACAAAGCCCCTAGTATTGTGGAGGGAGAGTGGGCAATCTTGAAATGGGTGATGTGGGAATCAGGGGAGCAGACAGAACCCCCAAGGGAACAGCTGCAACCCCCACCACTACCAGACCCTCCAGAGGCTTCTCCCTACCTATCAGTTTCTTATTTGGATTGAACTTCAGCCAACTATCTCGCATCCGTGTTGGACATTGGTCAGGTACTAGGGAGACTGCCATCCAATTCTGACAGAAGTGACTTAGGTCACTGGTGATCTTGCATCTCAAAATGTCTGATTTCCCTTAGTGCAGGAGTTCTCAGACTGGGGGTTGTGACCCCTCAGGGAGGTCGTGAGGTTATTACATGGGGGGTTGTGAGCTCTCAGCCTCCACCCCCAAATTCTACTTTATCTCCAGCGTTTATAATAGTTTTTAATATAAAAATTTGTGTTGTTTTGTTTAATTAATAAGGGAAGGGGGCCGCACTCAAGAAGCTTGCTGTGTGAAAGGGCTCACCAGTACAAAAGTTTGAGAACCACTGCATTAGTGCCTTATATCCACACTGCGCAGAATGGTGACACTATTATGTATAGATTAGTACAGGAATCCTGTACTAGAGTAGTTCCTTCATACTGTATGTGTCTGATACAAACTATAGAAATGACACTAGTGAATTCGTGTATATGAATTCAGGTCTGAAACTGGCTTAAAAACAAAATATTGTACTTTGTGGATTAGCAAAAGTATTTAAAGCCAGGGATTTGGCAAAATTAATTATAGTCAAGTAAATATGATTAGAATTCATCTTTCATTTGTGTGCTTCTTGCTTGTCACTCAAATATCTGGTACTAACGCCATTGTAGGCGAGTGGTAGGCACCACGATTTGGTAGACTTAATGTACCCTCACTATGTGCGTGCACACATACGTCATTTTGAAAGCTTATTATGTCTACTTTAAGATGAGAGATGATGTAGAGCTGTCAAGTGGAATAGAAACAGGAATAAATAGTGACACTATCAACACACTAAAATGACCACTTTGAAATATTTGCCTTTGTTTGTTAGTGTAATTGCTCTATGTATTATTTCAAGACACAAAATTGGATTTCTTTGTGACTTTA